ATAGGCCTAGGAGTGGAACTGCTGGCTAACCTTTTGAGGACCTGCCACCGTGGCTGTACAGTTTTCTATTTCCACTAGCAAAATACAGGGTTCTGATTTCCATACATTCTCACCAACAATCTGTTTTCTGGTTTTGTGGATTTGTTTGTTTGTTTTTTGTCACGGCCATCCTGGTGGTTGTGCAACTCCTGGAATTTTGATTTGCTTTATATCTTCCCTGCTCTAGCTCAACAGACTGTGACCTGCTTGAAGTTTACAGCTGCGCCTTCATCACTGGCAATATAGTATACAGTTTAATGTATGGGCTGAACTTGAATTCTGTCCTTTTTTTTTTTTATATGACCTTGAACATGTCATACAGCTTCTCTGATCCTGGTTTCTTCTTCATCTGTAAAATGGGAACCTCTAGATTGTTGAAGGGAGAAAATAAGAATCGGCCCTATTGTGCCTGGGACCATGCCTGACTGACGGTAATGTCTCAGTAATGGTTTGCTATAGTGATCAGGGCCATGATGTCTCTAGTGCTGAGGATCCAGTAAGTGTTGATTGAGCATTTTTTAAATGAATCAACAAGCTTTTTGATATTGCTCAATTAGCCCTGTCTTTATTTTCCACCAACTGTTCCCCTGACTCCAGACACCAGCTTACAAATTGATCACTCCCATCATCAGCCAGAGAGAAAGATCAATGCGAATGCTTGCCTAGAGAAAGCCTCCGTGAAAGCCATCGTGTGCATCTGGGGTGGAGGTAGGATGAGCAGGGAGAGCAGCAAGCTTGCAGCATACAAAGAGAAGAAGGAATAAGGGAGTTCTGGGTTATTTAGGTTGAGAAACACAAACACTTAGAAAGCCAGTGAGTGAGGAAGCTCCCTTGTTTGAGGTCTAGTTAGTGGCTGTAGGGGAGGAAAAGCTCTGTCCTGTTTGCTCTTGAAAGTGGTAGAAAGAGCACAAGGGTAACCCTTGGGTGCCAAGGGCCTGGACGATGGCCTCATGTCCTCCTTATGGTTCCTGTGAGCGTGGCTGGGTTGGGTAGGCTTCCTCAGGGGCAGCTGCTGGTCAGCTTGCTTTGGCTCCTGTGGATGTCTCTAGGATCCAGCTGTTGCAGTACTCCAGCCCTACTTGCCTTCCCTCTGTTCTTTTATTTCTCTCTGTGTTCCTACCACCAGACTTTTGCACTTGCTAGTTCCTTTGCCTGGTGTAGCCCAGTCCTTTGTTCCTGAGGCCTTCACCCCAGCTCCCCTCCAACTTCAGCTCTGAGGGGAAGCCTCCTCCCCCATCCTGGACTGGAGTGGCAGCTTGCACGTGTACCCTGTCATTCACTATTATCTTGCCCTGCCCAACTTGTCTTTCTTTCATTTTTAATATTTGTTTTCTGTACCAGTACTCATCGCTCAGATCTGATAAGCTCCCAGTATTTTTACCATATTTTCCTATTTCAAATCTTCTGGGTTTAACCAACTTTCTAGAGGTAAAACACTGACATGTAATAAATTCATTTACCACCACTTACGGTATAGAGTTTTCCATCACCTGTGAAAGGCCCTTCATCTCTCTCAATGGGCTATGTTGTTCTTCCTAGTAATTGCTTAAGATGATCGAGAATCACCTCAGCGGTGTATATTTTTAATCAGTGTGTTATCTGTCTCCTCCGCTGGAGCATATATTCTGCAAGGCAAGGAACTGTGTCTCATGCACAGATGTATTCCTATCCCTGGCACATAGTAGGCCCGCAGTAAATTTAACAGACAAAGATACAGTATTCAGGATGTGGTATGCACATCTTGATATAAGTGTGTGGGGATGTCTCTGCAGATAGAGCTAGTGGGTCACAGGGCAACTGACTTTTTGTTAGAAAAAAGACATCTAGAGCTGGGCATGGTGGTGCATGCCTGTAATGCCAGCCAGTACTTTTTGCAAGTTCAAGCCTAGCCTAAGGAAGTTAGCAAGACCTTGTCCAAAATAAAAATAAAAAGGGCTGGGGGTGTGGTTCAATGTGAAGGCCCTGGGTTCAGTCCCTAGTACCACAAAAAAAA